ACTTTTACTCTATTACATTGACCAAGCAATAGAGGACGCTGCAATTTTAAAACTAAAAAATTGTAATGACTGCTAAAAGTGCTAGGGGGTATAATTAAGCTTATGTTAAAATTTTTAAAAAGAACACGGTTTTAATAAATTATCCGATCAGGATTTTGCCTAACACCATGAATATACCCATGCTGGCTTCCCGATTACTCACATATTACTTACAATTGCCCTTTACTCACAAAATTACTCACAGACTAGTAAATTACTCACAAATGTGAGGAATTACTCACAGATTGGCAACCCTGCACTGATTAGACTCAACCGTGTCGCTGCAATATGCAGGTCTATTCACAGTGTATCCACTCTTACCGTCAAGGTCAATGCGTGTTAAGTTTCATACCCCCGCCGTTGTGAGGTCGCCACCGTCACCGTTCATAGGACATGCTTGTGCAGCGTTGCCAATAGCAATAATTTTACCCGATTTTTGGGTATTCTTAATTAAGTAATGAACTTTTATGAATTGATTTATAATTTATTAATGCAAGATTATAGCGTTTTTGCCGTTTTTCATTTAGTAGTATGTACTATTGCTGAAAAGTCATGTTTTAAAATATTTTCATCGTCACTATTGCATTTATTGGTGACTTCAGGCGTTCGGGGTAAGTGATGAGAATTATCACCATTTGACCGTGACAACACTGCCTACTTTGTGTACTTGATACCTACATAACCACAAATATTTCTTATTTCTTTATTATTTTTATGAATTTTGTGAGTGATTTGTTTGTTTTTGAACTGATATGGAAATAAAACAGAAAGTCAATAGTGAATTGGAAATAAAGCACAAAATTAATACCACAGCATAAAGTTTATTTAACAGGCAGTGTCGCGATTAGTTTCGGCTTACATTGGTCAGTGACCACATGGAGGAAGGATTAATGTGACCACATTACATTTTTGATATAATGGATAAACTTTATTCAGTCATGATTGTAAAGTGTAAGTGTCCCCGGTTCCAGGTTGTTATATTATTTTAATGGTAAAATACGTCTTCTTGCTAACACAAGATACCTATAATATAAGAAATAAGAAAAACCAGATATAACTAAAAAAATGAAAACACTTGAATCTTTTTTATTTTATCTTAATATTTTGCATGTACCATTGCCTTATTTTTAGCTATTTTTAGTTTTTGTTAAAATAATACCCGAAATTTACATTTTATAAATAAATCGTTATAAATATAATAAATGGTTTCATTTCATAAAAAAATGTAGCACCAAAACATGATTAAACCATTATAGTTACGATTTGTTTGCTTATTGTAATCAAATCTCAACTTTAATGGCACACATAATAACCACGTTCAAAGCCTGCTTCCAAAAAATTATTCAGACATTCAAAAATTGCCGCCATCATTTAGTTTAAACCCCCACCACTGTGAGGGCGCTGAAATCAGCTACGAAAATTATACATTGAGTGTACTGTCTATAAACAATATATGAAAGGTCTATGGGTCTATTCTTGCAAATTTGCGAGGCACGTGTGCATCGCATGGCCTCAACTTGATAATTTTATTTTTTAGGACGCACGATGTACACTTGCCTCGCATTTCAAAATCATGTTTAGAAAAAATAGTTGCTTTATTTAAAAAAAATGCCTTGTTTTTCTACTGCATTTTTATGCGTTTTAAACAAAAAAAAAAAAATTGCCAGGAAGAAGGCAAAAAATATCATTATGGCGATCAACGTGTTAAAGATGTTTATCTAAGGTTAAGTTCCAAGTCCTTGCTGCTTGCTTTAAACCGTAAATACTTTTCTTCAAATGGCAGACTAGATGTTCTTCTCCTTCTTTTATATACCCTCCTGGCTGCTTCATGTACATTTCTTCATTTATATCCCCGTTTAAAAAAGCTGTTTTTACATTAAAATGCTTTGCAAACATATTTCGGATTCCTGCTCTAATAAGTAGAAGTCTTAGGATTGCATGCTTAACTACTGGAGCAAATACTTCATCGTAATCAGCTCCATATTTTTGTGAGTATCCTTTGCAACGATATATACCAGCCAGGAAAGTCAACTGACCTAGCGCTGGACGATCTAAACAGGCTGCTTTCAAAGTCAATAGATGACAAAGAAATTGCAATAGCCACTTTCTTAGATATTGAAGGAGCTTTCAACAATGCCTCAACCAGGTCAATAACCAAGGCTCTAGAAGGGAGAAACGTCCCAGTAACAATATGCCAATGGATCACTGCCTGTCTAGAGAACAGGATTATTTTATCCACTCTAGGAAAGGCAACCATACAGGCAAAAGTTACACGGGGCTGCCCACAAGGAGGAATACTATCTCCAATGCTGTGGTCAGTTCTCGTGGACGACTTACTCAAAATATTGTCCAAAGAAGGCTACCAGTGCCTAGGATACGCAGACGACCTAGCAATCATCGTCAGGGGGCGTTTTGCAGGTACAGTTTCGGAGCGATCTCAAACAGCTCTAAACATAGTGAACAACTGGTGCAAAAAGGAACAATTGTCCATCAACGCACAAAAAACAACAGTTGTACCATTCACAAAAAAAACGGGTACTCACAGGTCTAAGACCACTAGTACTAAACAGCACAGTTATCCCATTCGTCACAGAAGCCAAATACCTCGGAGTCATATTTGACCAAAGGCTGACATGGAATCAACATCTCAAAAAACTCACACATAAAGCTACAATAGTTCTCGTAAGCTGTAGAAGAATATGTGGGAAAAACTGGGGTTTAAACCTCAAAATGGCCATATGGTTATACACAAGGGTAATAAGACCCATGATAACCTATGGCGCAGTGGCATGGGTAACCAAAACTGCGCAGGCAAGTGCAATAGACCAACTCACTAGCATTCAGCGGCTTGCCTGTCTAAGTGCTACTGGGGCCATGTGCCAAGTGCTACGCCGACCGCAGCAATGGAGGTATTACTAAATCTCACGCCATTGCACATCTTCATACAAGGAGAAACCAGGTCAGCTATTCACAGGCTAATGCAGGGACAAAACCCAATAAGCCAACTACATAGCACCGACCACACAAGGCTATATCAGCAAGTACAAAGGGATAATATTCTAGCTATGCCTACTGATAGAGCCATAACCACATACAAATTTGAAAGAAATTTTCAAATTCAAATACCAGCCCGAGAATCCTGGAAACAGGGACCTCCCGTACAGGCTGAACTCGTCTGGTACACAGACGGTTCAAAAACCAAGGAAGGAGCCGGTGCTGGAATCTATGGACCTAAGTCGAAATCAACGATTTCACTAAGCTTAGAAAAATATGCAACAGTGTTACAGGCTGAGCTAATAGCCATACAACACTGTGCAAGAGAAATATTAAATCAGCAAGTATCAGGCAAAACTATTGCCATATACTCTGATAGCCAAGCAGCTCTAAAGGCAATTCTCTCACCAGAAATCAAATCACGACTGGTGAAAGACTGTCTAGAAGACCTGACAGAGCTAAGTAGTCAAAATAAGGTGACCTGAGCCTGGGTTCCAGGCCATGAGGGATATCAGGGCAACGAAAAGGCCAACGAATTAGCCCGAGAAGGCTCAGATAAGGCCATGACAGGCCCTGAATCCTTTTGTGGAGTCGCTAAGGCATTGTGCAAGGCATCCATTAAACAATGGATGCAAAAAGAGTCTCAGGAATGGTGGAACAACTATCCAAGACTGAGACAGGCCAAACAGTTCATCAAGGAACCATCGGCCAAGTTTACGAAAGACCTACTGGATCAAAAACGTCAAATCGTTAGGATAACAGTAGACCTTCTTACTGGACACTGTCGCCTCAAAAGGCACATGAGTGTCATAAATCCAGCAGAAGAAGCAACTTTGTGCAGGTTCTGTGAAGAAGAAGAGGAAACATCATTCCACGTCCTGTGCCAATGTGAAGGCTTGGCTGAAATGAGGTTTCTAACATTGGGCGAAGAAAAGCCAATTGCATGCAACTACATGCGGGAGCCACTGTCAAAGCTACTAAGTCTAATAAAAAAGACCAGGCTAGACGACATACTCTAAAACAAACGGAGTCCCACAATAGATCTGAAAAGGTCGCGGTGGACAAGGACAAATAACGTCCAACTCCTAATCTAATCTAATCTAATCTAATCTAATCTACTTATACTTATTTAGCTTCTTTCCCTCATCATTTTTAGTTTTGAAAATCTATTTACAGTCAACAATGTTTCTGTTTTCAGGTGGACTATATAAAGTCCATGTTCCATGATCAATCATTGATTTAATTTCTTCGTCCATCGCAGTCTTCCATCTTTCTTTATCTGCCAGGCCCATACTGGCACCATTGGGGTCGCGGCCCGTAATGGGACGGCCCGTAGTGGGAACAAGCCAGTTGGGTGACTCTATTTGTGTGTTATAAAAAATGCGGTTGAATAATATGGAGATTACATGCCAAAAAAAGGACACCAGTTATACTCGTTTGGAGGCAATGTTAAAGTTGTTAAAGAGCTGTCAAAACTTTTTCAAAATTTATAAATTTGAGCGTTAATTCTGTCCTAGTTAGTCTTTTTTATTCATTATTTTCCATAAAAATCATGACCAAGTGCACTAAACCTTATTATAAAATATATAAAATGAAGAAACGGAAAAAATGGCCTTATCTAATCTAATTCAGTCGCAAAAGGGTCAACAAATAATGTAGAAGTCACACTTGCACAATAAACTGTATATAACTTTTTTTAAAGTTGTAATTCTGCATAGGGAACTTTAATTAGAACTAAATATGACCCTGATTAGACTACCATTTAAGCCACGCCCAGTGGGGTCATTTTTAATAACACGTATCTTATGCGAAACAAATGCCTCATGGCATCTCCATTGGTATTTTACCTACATGGTTATGAACAGCTTCTTAGTGACTTTCTTTTGTTTTCAGTACAGTACTTGTTTATGTGTAAAAATGTTTTATTTTATTTTTATTAATTTAATTTGTAGATTTTTAAGATTGAAATGGAGCTGTCTGCATCTAAAAAAGAAATACTTCTAGATCGAGAAAATCTTATCTCAAGCGAACAATACGAAGAACAGAAAAAAGAACTTAGAGAAACTGATAGTATGCGCCAAGATGGTTTAAATCAGTTAAGAAATTGGATCAGTCAAAATCCCGATATAGAAAATTGTCTCACTGGTACTTTATCTCGATTTCTATTTAATAAACTTACAAAAACTATTTGGTAATTTATTTTTAGATGACAGTTTTTTGGTGCGATTCCTACGAGTTAGGAAATATAGTATCCCAATGGCCCAGCAAACTCTTTTAAAATATTTAAATTTGCGACAGACTTTTAAATCTGCCTTGTGCAATTTGGATTATACAGAACCAAGGACACTTGACTTATTAGAAAAAGGGTAAGCAATATTATAAAACCTGTATCAACAGTCTACCTGACTTTGACTAAGGACGTGTTACAGCAAGAGAAATTTCTCGTTTAAAAATTATTTCTTTTTTCTTTCAGATATGTTTATGTCAGCCCATTCCGAGATTGCAATGGAAGAAGAGTTATCATTTATAATTTAAGTAAGGAAATATTTTCGTTATTAGGGTAAATGTGGGAGTCATGGTCACTACTTTAGTAATGGCCACTTCAGCAGTTATTACATATTTTTTAGTAAAGTTGTGCTTAAGGTTGTAGTTTGCTATTTAATCTCTAGTAGTTCAATTAAACTATAGTTCCAAAGTTTTAGACAGTTTGCTGTCAAATATCAAATTATTTTCAAATAGTTGGTGTCCATCATTGCTTTTTATCTAGAACTTTTTATAGTCTTTTTTGTTTAGTCACTTAATAATTAATCGTTTTTATAGCTAATTGAGAGTCGTCTTGAAATTAACATTTTATTTTGTTTAAGCCAATTTTTTGGAGGTGGCTATTACTGGTTTGATAAAAGCGTGAATATTTAGTAGTAATCATCCAGGGTGATAAATTATAAACTGCCTTATTTAGGAAATGTGTAAAATTTAAATTTTTCAGTATTTTTAACCGACTTAAAAAAAGGAGCAGGTTCTCAATTCGTCGTAATATTTATTTTTTATGTATGTTTAGCGATAATTTTTTAACACGGTGTCCGATTTCAGTGACTCTTTTTTTGTTAGAAAGGGGGTCCCATATTAATTTGGTCAAAATCTAATAATTGGGTCCATGAAAAAATCCTTAAACTCTTCATTTTTCATGTATGTTTAGCAATAATTCTTTACCATTTACTATAATTCTTTTTTGTTAGTAAGGAGGTACCTCAGGGGTGGTCTTATCTAATTTTGGTCAAAATCTAATAATTGGTCCATGAGAAAATCCTCAAACTCTTAATTTTTTATGTATGTTTAGTGATAATTCTTTACCACCTTGTCCGATTTCTATGATTATTTTTTTATTAGAAAGGGGACACCTCAGGGGTACAGGCCAACCATTCTAGCTTGACCTCTAAGAAGCGCAGAAGAAAGAGTGAAAGAGTCACTGTGCAACAGAGAAAGATGACAGGAAGTCCCTCGATTGTACAGTCCGTGCAACAATTATTCCTATTCGCAATCTTTGCATATTTTATGCATTTTTTTAAAATATGGGCCAATTTCATAATCGAATTCCGAATGAAATTAAATTGAATGATTTGAAATTTAATTATTCTAGAAGGGGGGGTGGGTGGCTCAGTGGTAGAGTCTCTGCCTGTGGATCCAAGGGTCCCAGGTTCGAATCCCACCGTTGGCCGGAATTTTTTCATTTAATTTAATTATTTAAAATTAATTCTGATGCCTTGGTAGGATTCCCCACTCGACCATTCACTGTTGGGTTCTAATTAACAGTTCTGTTCCTAAAGTGGCGCTGGGAAACAGTAACAAAGCCTACACAGAACACGAGGCGAAATAACCTTAGCAGTTGAAGCCGATGACACACAAAAAAAAATTATTCTAGAAAATAATACCTGTAGTGTAGGACACAGGAAGCAGGGTAATGCTATGGGTAATCCTATTAATAATTTTAAGTACTCTTTTATCAAACGTACAAACCGTAGAGTACCTATACTTAATTATAAATCATTGCTTTAATCCATTTTAAATGATAGTTTGGGATATCAGAAATTATTGTATGTGAAAAAGGGTTTCTCTGTGAAAAATAAAAGTTTAATTCAGTTATTTAAAAACAAAATTGTTTCAGTATATTTTATAGTATTTTTTTAGTACTTGTTCTGAAAAATATTAAAATATTTTGGAATTAAAAACAATAGATAAAATAAACAATGTTGAAAAGGTTGGTATAGCTAATAAAATACTACTTTTGTCATGATAAATATGAAAATCTGGATACGGATTTCTTTCTAAACTTGATACTTCAGTTGGAATTTTTTTAATTCTGTTGACGCAAGTAGACCTTGAAACAGTGACCAGTTTAAAAAAGACATATTTGCCCTTCTTTATACATAATATTAATGACAAATTAAACACAATTATTTGTTTAAAACAGGTAAAACTTTTATTACATAATAAGTATTTACAAATACATTTACACATAAAATTTACAAGCTAAAATAAGTTTTATTATTTTCAACTAATAGATACTTTTGCGCCCCATCATTTTCTTTTAATTCCTCGATTCCAGATAAATTACTGTCTTCTTCGTCTGACCCATCAGTTCCATCACTTTCTGAATCACTATCATTTTCGCCCAATCTAATAATAAGCTCTTCCACAACTGCATCTATTGTTGGTTTCTTTAAAATATATTCCTTTTCAAACCGTTTAGCTCTCTCACATCGAGATTTCCATTTGTCGGCTAATAATTTTTTAAAAAAATCATCACAGTACTGAATGACCTCGTTAAAAATTAAAATTTACGTTCCTTTTGGAGACATACTCTTTCATTTCAGCCTAAATCAACTCAATAGAATTGAGATCTGGATGATATGGAGGCAGTCGCAATACATCGTGTCCTTTTGCATTAAAAAGCTGGTCTATTTCATATCTTTTGTGCCTTGGTTTGTGACTGAGGGCGCTAGTATTACTGTTATTTATTACATAATGTAATTAAGACTTTGTATCTTTTATATTAAAACAATAAATTGAATATTCTATTAAGGAACATTTTTTCTAGGTTATAATTATAATAATTATAAAATACTACTACAAATTTTATTAAAAATTACTACAATTTGTATGAATTTTTACTATTTATTGTGTAAAATTTTCGTATTTATTTTCAAAAAACGCAATACATTTTTAGTATAAATTCATACAATGAATAGCAAAAATTATAACAATTTGTAGAACAATTCTTATGATGCATTTGGATATTTTTACTAAATATTTTAGATAATAACTCTACAATACATTCTCTACAAATATTTGGAAATTTTTACTACAAATTGTCCCTGTCCCTATATGTACTATTTATTGTAGAGAAAAAATGTATAATTGTAGAAATTTGTTCTACAATTTTTTTTCCGTGTAATAAACAAAAAAAATAACTTACATATTTTATATTTTCCTCAATGCCTATTATTATTTTATCTACAGCGCAAACTGCGTTGGCACGACACTGGACGACCGGGCGTTGAGCGACGTTCCGAGAATTCCGAAATTAAGTTGAAGATTAGCACAGGGCACAGTAAATGTGTGCCTCTTTTGTTTTCTCTCTCATTGATGCGAAAAACAAGGACAACGACAATATCGCTTAGCAAGAGATGAACACATGCGATTATATACGTCACAAGCGGGGCGCTGTCCTTATCGTGACGTGCTGTACTCATGGCACAAAACCTAGACCAGATACAATGTACGAATGTACGCAGCGGCATCTTTACTTGTAAACGGACTTTTAAAATTAAACACTTTTAAAAACGTACAAAATATCACAAGTTTTAAACTTTCTCTGTGGACTGTCCTTAGGCGATGTGAACAACACGAATGGACCGGTTAAACTGAGCTCCCGAGCAAGGCAGAGCTTTGGGCTACTGCTCATCCAGATCTCAGAGGCCAAGCAAGAATGGTTGACCTGTAGTTCCATATACAATTGATCAGGATCTGATGATCTATGAGAAAATAAAAAATCTCAGTTTTTAGGGTCATCTGCACGATTTAGAAAGTCGGTTTTTTAATTAAAAAATTATCATTGGCAATGAATATATATAAAAAATGTTTCGAGTAAGATGTATGTGGAACATGTATATATTTAGTTTATCCTCTAAACATTTGCAGACGTGATACAATAGGTTGTACTAAATAACCGGAAAAAGCCTGTAATAACTAGATAAGAAAGTCATGTGTTGGGCACATCAGTTTTTTTTTATGTTTCCTTAAGTCATTTTATAAGAAATAAATACTGGCTTGTCTATAGACAAGCCACTGTTGGTCAGAGGATTCTCGAGATGACAAGCTATGCTATTGGGCAGATAAATAATGTGGTCAAATGTTATATGTATACATAAAAATGTTGATAGGAATTAATTATCATTAATATTATTTATTATACTTTTCAAAATTTTTAGATTCCATTAATGTTCAAACAGTTACTAGTTTGGATATCCAAAGAGCCGATATGGTAACATTCGAAACGCTGTTAGAAGACGAAGAATGTCAAATTATGGGAGTCACACATATTATCCAGGGTGGTAATATCGGCCCATCTATCATACCTATATTTTGTACGAAAGATTTTGGATATTTAATCAAATGGGGAGAAGTAAGATACATTTATAAATTTCATTTTTAGTTTTGTTTTATGACAATAATTATTATTGTCTTCTTTCTTCTGATCTCGACACTAGCAAGGTTTGTTGCTCGAAGTGAGCAGGAGAAGAGTTAGATTCGTTCTACTTGCAATTCTTTGAGAGGCGTCTGGCTGAATGTTATTATAGACTCTACATTAGTTCAATACATATACGTAGTTCAAATAAAGGTATGGTCCGTTATTAACCGACTACTAACCGCAAGTAACCAGGATTTTTGACAGCGGTTCCTGAAAAAAACTAATTTCTTGATTACATTTGGACCAGATTTGGACTACGGTCGAGATTTACATCACTTTTGTGACAGATTGACATTCGACTTAATAATAACCTTAATAATCGTAAAAACATAGCGCTTATTGAATTGACGTTTGAGTCACCATTTTCAGGTAACCACGTCCCTAATTTAACCGATTTTTCAGAGCGGTTAGTTTTGGACCGAGTAACCGATATTTCGGTTAATAATGGACTATGCCCTAACTAGATGATAAATCGAGATCTAGCCAGATTTCCTCTACTATGATCTGATAAAAAATATTTTGTAAACGAAATGCTTATTAATACATAATTTGTTCTTTTTAGCAATCTTTTCCAATGAGACATAAGTCGTTTATAATAACAAGTATATCGTCAATTATTAAATACATTTTTGAAACAACGAAAAGTTTAATCACTCCAAAATTAAGGAAAAGAATTTGGGTAAGTAAACTATATTAAAAATCAATTTTTTTGGTTATTATAAATGACATTATTGGAAATTTCTTAATATCTAAAAATATATTGATATGGAAATCTCCTTTCGGAATATAAATTCCAATATTAGTCTCTATTCGGGGTCTAAAATTTTTATTTTTTAAATAATAAAATGTAAATGTCTCTATGATACGACTTCTCTTACTTTCTGCTACTGCCTGAATGTAATGCTCCTTAGGAGGTCTTGTTTTTCTTTACCTGTTGTAACTTAGAGCATATAAGACTAGAGATATCATTCAATGTATTTTGTTATGTATACTTAAGTAAGGTAATCACTTTTGGCATGAGGGGAGAGGAGTATACTCTATTCAACTTAAACGCAAGTAACGCGTAAACATAATAGCCTCTTGACCACAGCATGATACGCACAAGCCCGACTGGTATTGGCCAGCCCAGTGATCCGATTTTGAACGTTTTCCTACCCACTATACTCTGTTTTTAAACTAAGAGGAGCGATTTGAATTTAAGTTGGCAATTCTGTAGACTTCTGATTGGATAGATTGCAGTCAGTTTCACACATTACTTCGCATTTGATATTGGTTGATAGTTCTGACATTTTATAATTTGATATGTCATCATTACTGTTTTTTACTTTATTTCGTAAATAATAGTATAAATAATAGTTCTTCAGTAAGCAATTGTATAGAAAATCTACAATTATGGATCCTTCTACACTGAGTACTTTTAAAGGTAGCAATTCCTGAAAAGCCCTACAAGAAAGAGAAGACACATTATTTTACATGCTGATTCTGAAGAAGGTATTAAGATTTGCTTTTGTTTTTGCAAAGTTTTACATGTTTTGTTTTTGGTTTTTAGAAAAATGACTGATATATGTAATACGTCAGATTTTGATTAAAAACAGTTCTTTCCTTTAAGTCTTGGTTATTGCTTTTTTTCGGTCCTCTCAACAGGTTATGAGCCCAGCAGAGAGAAGAAAACATTTAAAAGTTGTGTTGCTTTTTTGTATGGTTTTCTTCTAGAGATACGTTGTGTACGCATCTAGAAAAAAAAAGCATAATTTAAGAAAAGAAGATACGTTGTGTACGCATCTAGAAAAGGCATTAAGTATTTTAAAAAGGAGATACGTTGTGTACGAATTTAGAAGACAAAAATGGCGGAGAAGTCAATTGACCTCAGTGTTAGTAAATTTGATGGTCAGAACTACCTACAGTGGAAATTTCAGCTTAAGTGTGCTCTTAAAGCTAAAGGGCTCTGGGGAATAGCTGATGGAACCATAAAGTTACCAGAACTTCAAGCAGGACAAGAGGAGTGGTACAAAAAAGATGCTCAAGCAATGTTCCTTCTAACAGCGGCAATGAATCTAGACCAAATTACGCTAGTCGAGAATTGTGAAACTAGTAAAGAGATTGTAAATAAATTGGATTCAATCTATCTACAAAAGAGTGAAACAAATAAAATGATTGTTCATGAAAGGTTTCATCAGTACAGAATGTGTAATACTGACTCAATAGCTCAACATATAGCGAAAGTGGAAAATCTAGCTAAGCATGTGAAAGAGTCTGGTGAGTCAATTAGCGATGCAGCTGTAATGATGAAAATCATAAGTACTTTACCATTAAAATACAGAAGTTTTCGCCAAGCATGGCTCTCATTAGATGAAAACAAGCAGACGATTCCCAATCTCACTGCTCGACTATTAGACGAAGAGAAAAGTTTAACCGTATATGAAGAAGCTGAGACTGCATTAGCTACTGTTTCATTGAAGAAAAATAGGTACAAGAATGTTGTATGTTATAACTGTAGAAAAAGGGGACATTTTTCAAAGAATTGTCGAGAAAAGAAGGAAAAATTAAATTTTAACAATGAAAAAGACGGTGGAAACAACAGCAAGTATAATGGTAGTGCAGCTTACACAGGAACCATTGAAACTGCGTTTAATGTAGATGTAAATTTTGCTAATGTCTGGGATGACTACTGGATAATGGACAGTGGTGCGTCTGCTCACATGTCATACAGAAAAGATTTCTTTGCCAGTTTAAATGAAAACATTAATAGTATAGTAGTACTTGGTAATGGAGAAAGACTATCTGTAAAAGGAAAAGGAACAGTAAACATTCAAAAATTGCTGAATGGAGAATGGTACAATGCTACTATAAATAATGTTCTATTTATACCCAGTTTAACGAAAAATTTATTCTCAGAAGGCATCATCACTGGCAAAGGTATGAAAATTTTAAAACAGAACGATTTTGCAGAAATTTGGGACAATAGCGGAGTAATCGCAACAGCAGTGAAAGACTATAATAATATTTATAAGATGATGTTTCGCACAGTCATCAATAGCGCAAATATTGTCATTCCCGAAAGTTTAAAGTTGTGGCATGAAAGACTTGGACACTTAAATGTAAACGCAATTCGGGAAATGGTTAAGAAAGGACTTATAACAGGCGTGAGTTTCAGCGACACTGACAAGTTCTTTTGTGAAGCATGCGCGTTTGACAAACAGCACAAAATACCATTTGTTACAAAAAGTAAGCACGAAAAGCTAAATACCGGAGAACGTATATTTAGTGACCTCTGTGGACCTATGACCGTACCTTCAGTTTCGGGTACTCGATATTTTATGTCGTTGAAAGATGAATACTCGGGATATCGAGTAGTGTATTTCATCAAACACAAATCCGATGCGTTGGAGTGTTTCAAAATCTATAATCAAAAAGTCAAAACCAAATTCGGAAAACCGATCCATATATTGCACGTGGACAATGGTAAAGAGTTCTGTAACATTGAGTTCCAAGATTATTTAGACAAAGAAGGAATTACTCTTGAAACAACCGCTCCATACACTCCAGAACAAAACGGCCGTGTTGAACGTGACAACCGATCAATCGTAGAAAGTGCTCGTTCTATGATGTTTCAAAGACAAATGCCAAAATATTTATGGGCTGAAGCTGTCAGCATGGCAGTTTATATTTTAAATAGAACTTTAACAAGTCAAACGCCAGATTCTACCCCATACGAAATTTGGACTGGACAAAAACCATTCTTGGGGCATTTAAAAATTTTTGGCTGCGATGCTTATGCACACGTACCAGATGCGAGGCGAACCAAGTTTGAAGCTAAAAGTAAAAAACTAATATTCGTCGGCTATGACAAAAACTCTACTAACTATAGACTTTTTGACCCAATGACTAAGAAAGTAACAATATGTCGTAATGTAATTTTTAATGAGACTTCCAGAACTGTAAATATAAATAACATGGTTAAAATTAATCTAGAAATAGATGATATCACCGAATATCCAGAGATAGACACAAAGGATGTAGCCCAAGATGTTGTTGAACCTGAGATTCAGAATGAAGAGTCTGATCTGCGACCAAAAAGAAATATCAAGGTACCAGTAAGATATGAAGACTATCAGTTAAATTTTATTGAAGCAGATATTCCTCAGACGTACAAAGAAGCAATAAGCTGCACTGATGCTCAAAAATGGCAAGAAGCCATAAATGAAGAATTATCTGCTTTAAACAAAAATAATACTTGGCAGATAACGGAAATTCCACCCGATAGGAATATTTTGCATTCAAAATTGGTATTTAAGGTAAAAAGGTATCCCAATGGTGAGATTTCGCGCTATAAAGCTAGATTATGTGTAAAAGGTTGTGCACAACAACAAGGAGTTGATTATAATGAAATATTTTCCCCTACAACACGATTCGACTCAATAAGGATACTCCTAGCAATAGCTGCAGAAAATTGCTATAAAATGATGCAATTTGATATTAAAACCGCCTTTCTCTACGGTGATCTAGATGAAGAAATTTTCATGGCTATTCCAGAAGGCTTACAGAATGTAAATAGTACAAGTAATACAGTTTGTAAATTAAGAAAATCGTTGTATGGTTTAAAGCAGGCACCCAAGTGCTGGAACAAGACGTTCAACAATTTTTTAGAAAAATGTGGGTTTATACGGTCCCAAGCTGATAGATGTGTATATCATGGCTACATCAATAATATTAAAGTGATTCTTGTCATTTATGTTGATGATGGTTTGTTAATATCCTCGTCAAAATTGGCAATTGAAGAAGTTTTAGATGAGTTGAAAAGTAAATTCGAAATAACAATCAGTGAAGTCAACTATTATGTTGGACTTGAGGTTTCAAGAAATCCAATTAACGGATCTATTTTTATTTGTCAAGAGAGTTACATTAAACAGATAATAGAAAAATTTAGATTAGAAAATGCCAAGCCTTGCACTACTCCTATGGATCCCAACTGTGATTTGTCTCTAGATGCAAGCAGGTTATTAGAAGAAGATGAGGTTCCTTACAGACAAGCTATAGGTTGCCTATTATTTCTAGCCACTGTAACTCGGCCAGATATAGCACATGCAGTGGGAGTATTAAGCCGGTATGTAGGTAAACCTACTGAAATGCACTGGAATGCTGTTAAACGGTTAATTAGGTATTTAATTGGAACCCCTGATCTTGGCATTCTATATGAAAAACAAAATAAATTAAGTACCTTGGTCGGGTACTCAGACTCGGACTACGCTGGCGATCGTAAGACTCGAAGATCGACTAGTGGATATTTGTTCAAATTATGTAATGCTCCAATTACTTGGTCAAGTAAAAAACAAAATAGTGTTTCTATGTTTACTACTGAAGCAGAATACATCGCTGCATCGGATGCTGTTAAAGAAGTAATTTGGCTTCAACAATTTTTAATAGATGTTGGTGAAGATGATAAGGTTGTAAAGCCTACAATTTTATTTATTGATAATCAAAGTGCTATAAAATTGATAAGAAATCCTGAATTCCATAGTCGATCAAAGCATATCGACATTCGATATCATTTTATACGGGAAAAATATGAAGCTGGTGATATTATACCGATGTTTAGTAAAACTGATGATCAAGAAGCAGACATTTTTACAAAGGGACTGCATAAAAAGAAATTTGAAGAACTCCGCAATAAAATGGGAA